AGTAGCAAAATGGAAAGAAACTGCGTTCTACTTTTCTGCCTGTATATAGAACCAATCTATAACTCTTTTCTGCGTATCTTGATTTGATTGTTAACAAGTTTGTATTGCTTGGAAAAGTTGGTCAATCGAGCATATTCAGAAAGTCTGATTCTTTGCAAAGGTTGTCTATCTGGCGAGGACAGATTTTCATACGGTGTTACTTTCCTTCAAATTTTTATCAAACCCTGTTCTTTCTGAAAATACAAGTTGTCCGGCTCGTTAACTGTCTTTCCGTTAACATTTTAAGCTTAAATATATTGTCTCGTGAAATTTCATTGCTTTTGTCGGAGTTGTTGGACAATTGGAACCTGGTATTTAGAGAGACGGCTTTCACTTCTCTTTGATTATTCTTAACTCCAACTCTAAACCTTTACCTAAGTAGTTTTCTCATATCTTCCTTCAAGGATTTTAGGGCCGAGCTCTCTCATAAAATAGATATGTTGCTTCAACTTGAAAGAGGCACGGTGCTTATGGAAAGATGATGCTTGGTACTAGTTAACTACTCATGGTGGAAACTTAAGAACTGCCAATCTACTTGCTGAGCCTCTTGATGCCCAGATCAATATTCAGAGGTTCATGATGCATGTGGAGCAAGAGTGCTGTTCTAGGATTACTCTCTTACGAAGATGACAGTACTAGTTAATTTGCAGAGTTATGTGGTAATTTTGCTAGGTTTACTACAAAGATTTCATCATTTACTAGTTTTTGCAAAGATTATTAGGTGCTATAGCGTGCTTTTATAATATTTGCATACTTAGGTCAAATAGCACTCGGTAAAGTGTTATGTCTAATACATTCAAGAAACAGCTGAATCTTTAACGCTCCACTTTATAAGAAAATGTCTGAAATTATAGAGAGCCATCCAACTCAGATGGATAGCGTTTGTGGAATATATCTTTTATTCTTGGCTTTACCCTTTTAGCGCATTACCAAGCTCCATAAATTTGAGTTTCTAGCCCACCTTCCCCTGTTACATTAAATAAGCTTTGTCCCCTTAAATGATAATAATGTCTCACCTAGAACAATGTTAAATGTAATTTAAGGTAACAATGCCAATGCGCGCTTTCTAAGGAATCCTGTGAACGCTTAGAAAAACCCGGTTGTGATAGTAGAGATCTCCTCGCAGGTGCAGGAAACGGAGACGCTAGGTCTGGGGACCGAACTCCGTAATCATAATTGGTTGTTTGTGATTGCAAATTGGCACACTTACTTTTATGTTCATATCTTTAATCGCCTTTGTATATGCTTGTTGATTATATTGCCCACTATCCTAGTTTAGATTGTTTTCCTTTGTGTTTGCATACCCTTACATCATATCACTTGTATATCTCTTGATAGATATATCGATCTGTGTTAGTTTATTATCCCTTGGATATTACATATTCATTCATATAGGATATAATCTCTTGTTTGCATTGCTTATCCTAGCTTATTATATCTTGTGGTATTTCATATTTGCTAGCGATAACTTATTAATAAGCTGTTTTAATTGGCATATAATCGGACTAGATTAGCACTAAGACCCTAGATCCACCCCCCTCTAGGGTCTAACCAATATATAATATATATATATATATATATATAATTATATATATATATATATATACTATATATATATAATACTAATATTATATATATATATAATATAATATATATAATTATATATACGTATTATATGAGATTAAATGGGTATCATTTCATAGGCAGGGCATTTCCTCCCTTGACGGCCTCTAAAATCACATGAGTGACCGACATTGTGGATGATCCGCTCATTAAACTTGATCTACCATATTCTAAAACGCCCAACACACCAAGTTTGGGGGCTGAACTCGTCATCATATTGATCCTTCATCCCACTCGTATCAATTTTAACGGTTTTGAATGATAGAACTTTTCACATGCGCTCGGATGGAGGGTCAAACGTACGACGGATTCACCCAAGACTTTGGTGTGTTGGGGTTTTAGAATATGTAGATCAAGATTTCAACGGAGCCGGATCATCCATAATGTCAACTCAATCATGGATTATAGAGGCGCTCAACGAGTGAAATTCCCCTCCTATGACAATGGATACCATTAATCATATATATATATACGTATATATTATATATATAATATATACATATCATATATATATATATGGTGTCTGAATAATGATTCCCACTTTTATTTTGTAATGCTTATTGCCTGTATATATATACCTTTTATTTTTATTTATATCTACATATTTATATTAATACATTATCCCTGGATTCTCTAAATCCCCTCCCCAGTATAAAAAAGGTTAAAATTACCTAAAATTCCTGGGTTTGTGGTTATTGGTTAAAAGTTTTTATATATTATATATATATATATATATGAGATAATGTATCTTGTCATAGGGGGATTTCCTCTATGACGCTCTAAAAATTACATGATTGAGCGACATTGTGGATGATCGCTCCGCTTGAAACTTGATCTACATATGTCTAAACCTCCACGACACCAAAAGTTTGGGGTGAACCCCGTCGTCGTTTGACCTTCATCCACGTCGTAATACAAATTTTAAGCGGTTTTGAATGAAATAGAACTTTTCGCATGCTCGATGGATGGGTCAAACGACGACGGATTCACCCCCAAACTTGTGTGTTGGGGTTTTAGGATATGTAGATCAAGTTCAACGCGGAGCGGATCATCCCATAATGTCGCTCAATCATGTAATTTTTAGAGCGTCAATGGAGAAAATCCCCTCCTATATGACAAGAAATACCCATTAATCTCTCTCTCTCTCTCTCTCGTCTCTCTCTAATATAAAAATTATATACTATATATATATATATATATATAATATATATATATAATATATATATTATATATATATATATATATATTATTATATACTATATTATATATATATTATATTAATATA